AAAAAAAACGAAAAAAATCATTAAATTTTATCAAAAAATATTATGCAAAATGGTCCATATTAGCTTATGCAAAGCATTTTGACCGATAATTTTGGGGTTACTTGGGGTACTTGTAAATAAAAATTAAAATGTTTTTGTAATTTTATTGAATAAATGTTAAAACAATAAATACAATGTTGGTAAATAATGTTTATAACATAAGATAATGATTAATTTGTCAAATAATATCAATAATTTGTCAAAATATTCAGTTCATTTAATGGCAGTTTTAAGAGTAAAAATAATTTATTTTTATTTAATTGTAATTTTTGTGTGTAAAAACAATTTATTTTTATTCCCGAGGAAATAAAACGTTACTTTAATCCCTATTAAAAAAACATTATATCCTTCGATGGTATTTTCTCATGTAACACTTGATTTTTTTTCTCAAAAATGTAATTAATTTCGATTATTTCAAAAAGTTCAAACACACAGTAAACAATTTTTTTAAATATGTGTCAAAAATATAAGTAAAAAAATTGATATGTGTCGGTTTTTGCTGTTGCGCTTTGTTAAAATAGTGGTCAAATTTATTATTTATTTCAAACATTAAAATAACGTTTTTTTAAGCCTTACTTATTTATATGGATTTTAAAACTATTAAATCTTAAACATTGCATAGTTTTAATACAACAGTAAAAATCTTTCAAGTTTGGTTATGCAAACAGTTTTCACCAACAGTTTTTAAGTTGAACGTAATAGTATTTAACAACCGGAAAAAATTGAAAAAACCGAATAAATTTACCAAATTTTATTAAAAAAACGTTGTGCAAATTGGTCAAATTAGCTTGTGAAAACCGTTTTGACCGACAGTTTTAAAGTTATAATTTTTTTGAATGCAATAGTATATTACAACAAGGCGGGGAAATAATTTCCCATTAAGTTTGAGTGCTTTTTATTCAGAATCGCATTTTGTTTAAATGACAAAATATCTGTTTTTCTAACAAAGTTAATGTATTGACGAAGTTACAAACTAATTTGTTGAAAAATGCTTTAATAAATTTTTACAAAAACATAGGTAATTTATTATTATTGTCAACAACAACAACAACAGTAGTTTATTTATAATTCGATGGTATTTTCTGATGTAATACTTGATTCTTTCCTGGGAAGTGTAATTAATTTCAGTTATTTATAGCTCTTTCGTATCATTTCAGATAAAGTTACTTTGCAATGAACGTTAGAAAAAATAAATCAGAATAATCTCAGAGGACTTCCATATTTCATTCCCTTCTCTCGTGTTATCTAAAATTGCCTAAAGTGTACTTAGTTGCATACAAATAAAACAATTTAAACCTGAAATCACAATTTTCTCTCGCCGAAAATATCAAATACGTGATGATTTTTCCCCCGGTTTGTAGTTCCCAACTTTACTCATTTCGTTACGTGTAGTATCGCGAAATAATATAAGAATCTCGTTGCTATTCAACTTTTCACAAACTTTAATAAATACTACAACTATATTACTATTTGCATAAAGTTTAACAAATTCGCGTTTTCTCTTTATTAAAAAAGTTTCAAATTTTTCTAATACTAAAGTTTAAATCCCGGTAATTCCGGCCTTATCAAAGCATAATTTAGCATCTCGTCGTAAATGCAAATGAGGACGTAATTCGGAAAAATCCTGACCTGGCGCAAGATAGCACCCACTTTTAATTACAGAGGAAATTAAATCTAAATACAGGGACAACTTTTAAGTTTTTATTTTGTTTGTCGAGGAGTCAATAATCATTCCAAGGGTAATAATAAATTCGACGTGGATTATCTCAAATAATAATGGTCCAAAAGTCTGGAAACGGTTTTATTCTAGCGAAACTATTAATTTTTTTAACAAATAAATTTATAGGTGTGCAATGGCTATAAAAATGCCATTCAAAAAAAATTGATAATTAATTAATTGTTTATACTTACGAGATAAACATAGTAATCATTTTTTTTATGGAAACCTACCACAATTTTTTTTTGGACAACGAGTTTGTTACAAGAATTGTTGCTGTGCAAAATTTTTTTGTAAACCTCTTAAAAAAATGTTTGACTTTCAAAAATTAAAGAATTTTTTTTTGAGTAAACTAC